CCTTCTTAAGTGATTTGAGTAGACTTGTACAACCTTTATCACTATCTAATTTCAGAATATTTTCATCATCCCAAACAGAAACCTGTACCCACTGTCTCTCCTCTCCCCAGCCCCTAATGACCACTATTCTACTTCTGTCTCTGTAGATTTACCTATTTTTGGCATTTCATAAAAATGGAATTATACAAAACATGAGCTGTCATGTCTAGTCTCTTTACATGAGCATTTTCATATAAAGTTTTATGTTTGAAATGGCTACCTATAATTTTGGGTAAATATAATAATTTCTTCAAATTTGTCTAACTTTGTCTAAGTACGGGACTGATGAATTATCTTTCCTGAACTAAATGGCCATCGATCCATGTGAGAATTCTGCTACTGTCCTGTTAACAGGATTTTTCATCACATTACCATCAATGAGAAACTTTTCTTTACAACCTTACCAGAATTTCCAACAGTTGAAATTATATTTAAAGACTCTAATAGCCCTTCTTTTAATTAGTTGAATCATATAAAATTGCCATTTTTGGGTGTCAGAACTGGTTGAACATAATGGTTCAGCCTAATAGTTCAATGAGTAATGGAATATTGCAATTCTTTGCGATAATGCGAATGGATTTTGTATCCAATTCAACTTTTCATGTCAAGCTATAACTTGCAGAACGTATGTGTTAAGGTGCAACAATCCCCACAGTTGAAAGTGGAGAGAGGTATCCAAGATATGTTGAGAGAGAGGACTGGGACCAGGCCTGGAGTGGTGCTCCTCACCAGCCCCACCAAATATTCCCTTGGCCTAGTCACTGTGTTCTTTGGGAACCTGGAACACAGACCCCTTCATCAGTTCTATGGTTCCTGGTCCATGATGAGCTCCAGAAACCTCCCAGATTCCATGCAGCGGCCCCAGGGGCTGAGAGATTGTTATTTTGCAATACATCCATAGCCTGTTGTTAGGGGAGCTCTGATTTGTAAGCAATTCAGCACCACAGAAAAGGAAACAGCTTAAAAATGGATATTAGACATCACTTTCTTAAAGTCTCTCGGCCATACCTGCTCAGGGAATTAGCCATCAGCCTCTCTCCACCTCTGGTCCGAGTTTGTATGCCGTTCCTTAGAGTCTGGATCCCACCTCTCCTGAGGTAGAGCTATCACCCGTCTTCTCACCTTCCAAAGCTCCCAGACTCCTGACTTTTCTGGCCAGTAGGCAAAATATATAATATCTAGAGAAATGTATAAGTCTTTGTCATAACTACATCTAAATTCACAAAAAAGCTCTGGGGTCTAACTTTGTCTAAGTAAGGGACTGATGAATTATCTTTCCGGAACATGGCCATCGATCCATGTGAGAATTATGCTACTGTCCTATTAACAGGATTTTTCATCACATTACAAGTAGATCAAGAAAGGGTCCATGGACTTATCTAGAACTCTGGGACCAGCATGAATCTCCACCATTACAGAGTTTCCCTTTCTGGTGTTCTGTGTAATCATTGCATTTCAAGAGTTTTTAGAAGATTAAAAGCCAACTTGTTCTCATATGAAAGAAAGTGAATCAGTTGATATAAGGGGAAGGAAATATAATTCCTCTTTTTAAGAATTGCACACATAAAATTAAGGCCAGTTTACCACTGCTAATAACGATGTAGATATATTCTTGTTGTTTCCAAAATACAGGGTGGGCAGAAGTAGGTTTACAGTTACATTATAACATTATTTTAAGCTAATAAAGTTATTGCAATAATCATAACCTGCATGTGTTTTTCCATACGAACAACTATAATCCTACTATTGCCCTCCCCATATAGTCATAGCATCTTTACCTTCCCACAACAAAAATCATTTAGTGCTCACCTTCCTAAGTCATTGAAAGCTATGCTGCATAGTCCACAATAGAATGCGGATCCTCCTGTCCTTCACCAACTAGCTGTGCCATGCGTCTCTGCATGTCAGATTTCTCATCTCTAAATGAACACTGAGCTCAAAGGGCTGATAAGAAGATTAAATGAGGTAATAGTTGTAAACTACTTAGAACAGTGCCTAACAAACAAATGTTTTATTACTGCTCAGTAAATATTAAGGAAAGGAAAAAAGAGAGAGCGAGGAAAAAAAACATACAGTGATGATGTTATTCAAATCAAGGTTCATCTGTAAGTAGTAGGCCCTTAATGCTTGGTGCATTGACTTCTCTTCTTTTTGCACAAATATTAGTCAGAAAGCTGTTCCTGAGAAATAGCCTCATTTGTGCTTGAGTCATATTCTGTTAATAAGTACAGGGAGAAAAAAGTTGATTATCAGTCATGAAAACTCAGCTTGTGTTTAGGAAATATCAGTGTTTAGAAAACAATGGTAAATGTCAAATATTTTGAGGCAAACAAACAAAAAAGACATTGTTTTATGTGTTACATGTTAAAGCGGTGGCCTGAAAGAACATGTTTCTTTTTCACATATAACTTGATAAGCAGCATCATTGGTCACAGAAATAATCATGCTTAATCTTTTATGAAAATGTTTTCTGATAAATTTTTAGTCTACTACTGCCATGCTAATAGTCCTTGAGTATGTTTCAAAAAAGAGAGGAAGAAACAAGTCAGTGAATTGATAACTATCACTTATTAAGCACCTATTATTTGCTTTACACATTCATAAGCACTTTAGCTACATGACTTGATGTAATTTTAATAACACTGAAGTAGATATTATTGGATTCATTTTATCCATGGGGCTTAGAGATGAGACCAAAGACCATATATCTAAAAATTTGCCGAACTAAGATTTAAAGCCAGATAAAACCTAGATTCTTTACTATGTCATATGTTTCCTACTGGCAATTAATTATAAAGCTATTTGTATTGAGATACTAATTACAAACAATTTTCCCTTAGAAATGATGAAATTTCCTTACATCTATATGATATACTTTAAATATTAGTTTTTTTAAAACTTCATGAGAAGATAGGTACATAAAAATCCAATATATTTCTGAAATTACAAGAAAGTGAATACAGAAAGCTTGGCAATGACTGTATGGATTAATACTTACATTTTGGTAAGTATTAACAGCTAATATGTTAAATCAAAGATTTTAAGGATTTATTTATTTATTTTGTTTCAAAATAAAAATGACCCTTAGGAGAAAGATAGATACTAGAGGAACATTTGCAAAAACGAACAAACTGAAGCCCACTTTCATAGCGGTTATTTGCAATGACCTTCATAAGCATTAATTTTTAAAACTTGATTATATATATTTAAATCATTAACGGGATGCATATTCCTTTTGTTCAGTCAAATGCCACAGACACAAATTGAAAGCTAATAATCTCCCCTCACTTTCATTTTTCTCCATTGATGAAACAATTTTAATGTGTATCTTAGCACATATTTTCTACATTTATATTAAAATATACAAATATATAAAGAATATATATAAGGATAACTTGTATTTCAAAATGTTTCACATTATTCTGGTACAGCATTTTTAGTTTTACTTAAATGGAATGTAGATGTTCCTCTAAGACAATAATTTAAATCTTAATCAGTGATTCAATGCTTGCTACAGATTAGAATCACTTGGGGAGTTTAGGAAAAAAACAAAAAGAAATTGCCAGAGCCCCACCCCCAGAGATTCCAGTTTAATTGGCCTGGGTGGGGCCTTGGCATCAAGCTCCCCAGTGGACTCTGATGTGTAGCTAGTTAAAACCACTGAATGAAGCAATCCAACAAGCTGCTAGTGTCAGCCTCTGCCTGATTGGTTCTGGTACAGCCCCTCTGAGGAAGACCCTGCACTAGGAAACAGCATCAGAACTGATTGGGGTAACTCTGGTAGGCCCACCTATATTGTAAATCTCCCCCAAGAAAATTGGCTTGATAGGAAATTTGTTTTCTTTTAAATTCTATTAGGGACCATCACATGACTGCACAAAGTGTAACCAGGTCCAGGAATTTCAGAGGCCACATAAGTGACAGCCTGCTCTGCTAGGCTGAGTTTATTCCCTTTGCCAACCAAACCAAGAGGTTTTCCCTTGCCTGGAGTTTTCCCAAATTGGCTGTCACAGGAAGCCACACCCAGAACTTGTTTCTTCCTGTCTGGGAGAGGCACCTTCTCACTGCTGAAGGAACTTGTTTAGCCCCTCAGCCTGGTCTGGGAGTTTGCAAGTCAGCTCCATGTGTCTGTCTTGGTGAGCTCTTCACTCATAGTGAAACGATTGTATGGTCATTTCGTTTTCTTCACTTTCGATACCCATTTGCGAAACTGGAGGATAGAGGCACAAAACAGGAGAGTTATGGAGGTTTTGGCTCTTCTTTTTATTTTGCTTCTGTGGGATAAAACAATTGGCAGCCAGCTACTATTAGGTTTTGGTCTGAATTATTGCCACCATTGGTTCTGCCTTCAACAAATGCCCATTTCCCCTTCTCAAAACACTTGGTTAGAAGTTTTGAGAGACCAGACAGGAATTTACTTAGGAGTAAATATTTAAAAAAAATTTTTTTTTAAACTGTGAGTTTTAAGCTAACAGAGCCTGGCAGGTGTATGGGCAGAGCCACATTATAGTTACTGAGGAAGGGAATAAATGTCAGAGAGTGAGAAAAATGACCAAAGACCAAATCAGGATTGAGCTATTTTTGTTTCTTTCCTAGTTCGAAAACAGTAACATTAAATGTTTAGATTTGAGTCCTTGACATTCCAGAATATAATTGCCAAACGTTTCAAGTATTGGAAAATATGTGAACTGTTTAAACAAAGTTTCAGCAAAACAAGAGCGAACCGAACCGTCAACCGCAGCCCATCTGCACTGCAATGTGTTAAGTCAAATGTGGAACTTAAAGCTCCGGGCCGCTGGGACCTCTGCCGGGGAGACAGGCGGCTCTGTCCAACACCAGGGGCAGTCAGGCCGGCCGCGGCAGGCTCCGCCCCCTGCGTCACGGGAGGCGGGGCGGCGGGCGATTGGCTGAAGCCCCGGCTGCTCGGAGCCGGGCGGAGAGGGAGGAGTGGGAAAGGGAAGAGGAGGTCGCCGCCCTGCACGGGCTCGGCTCCGCTCTGGCCGCTGAGTTTGGGATGTGTCTGAGGAGTGATTTAAAAAAAAGTCTCCAAGGCACATGGCTGGCGTGGAAGCATAACCCATCTCTAGTCTTCGGATCTGTGCTCGGTTCTTCTCTTGCACCTTGGGACGCGGGATCGTCATGCTGTGATGTGTGCCCAGGGAGGAATTGGTAAGGGCGCAGAGTGAACCCCTTCGGCTGTTCCCTGCCTCCCTGTTCCCTTTCATACCCATCCTCTGCTCTTTCTCTGTTTCTTCTCTGTCTCTCTCATTCCCCCCACCCCCAATAATTGTGTTCAGGTTTGATGAAGTGCCTCCAAACTAGAGTTCAGGGCTGTTGAACTTCTGTGGGTTTTTTTATTTTTTTATTTTTATTATTTTATTAAAGGAGAAACACATAATTTTCACTCAATTGGTTTCAAACCAAGGATTATTTTATCTCTTCTGAATGCTGGGTTTTGTGAGAGGTAAGTGTGCTCCCACGCGCGCACACTCACACGTACATACGCACCTACCTTGGTCATCTCCTTTTGAAATCCAGCAGTTTAAGGCAATTCTGGCGGTGTCTCAAGGTAATGAAGAGGATAGGGGTCGAAGAACCACGGGTTGATTCCTTAGGGGAAAAAGATGTTTGTGTTGGAACTTGCTCAGAAATAGTTTTTCAGGGAGAGCTGCAAAAAAAGCCGGCACTCTTCCCACCAAACACTAACTTTGCAGAACTTAATTGTTGTTTGGGGCATCCTTCATTTTACATTATAAAACACATAGGCATCCTTCATTTTACATTATAAAACACATAGTCACACTCTACTATGTACAGCAGAGAGACATCTGGCTGGTTAGTGAAACCCTCCAGTGTGGAGGTTTGACCTCCCTGCACCTTTAGAAGGGGTGTATTTAAACTAGTCTGAATTATAAGGGCATGTTAACGCAGGTATTTACAACATTATCTAAATAAGAGCAAAGTTTCTTCTTGCTTCTTTTCACCTAGTTCTTTGCAAGGAGAAAAATAAATCTAGAGTCTAAGAGCAAGCCTTTGACTAAAATCAACGTTGAAAGATGGACCCACAAGGGCTCCTTATCCACCAATATGTATTATATACTGTATCGGAAAAGTAAGTCCGGAGTAGACAATTACTTTTAAATTTGGCTAGGTCACATTTCTGTGAAGAGTACCATCATAAAGAAAAAAAAAAAATCTTTATTGGCTTTTTAAGACCAAACATGTAACACATAATCATTGTAACAGAGTAAACTCACTCACTGCCCCAGTGTGAGCCCCACAATAATCTACCCAAAAAGGTAATGTCCAATCCTTCTGGACTCTTTCCTGTTCTCATTACAAGTACATATTATATACCTACATGGAGATAGTTTGTTTTTATCAAAATGAGATCATACTAATGTGAAAGAATTTCTATCTAAAGTGAACCAGAGGCTATAAAAGGGAAAATCTCATGCATGTGCCCTCAGAAAAACAAAGGGACTGAGGCACTGATTTCCTGTAAATGCATGGTTGTTAGCATTTTCTTGAATATTAGGGAGTTCATCAGAGGTTGCCTCATATTAGCCTTGACAGTTTTGCTCATAATCCATAAGCTTATAAGCCTCTGTTTGCAGAAACGTGAACAAGAGATGACCCAGGCCAGGTTGGTCTCACAAATTGGTCTAAATTGAGCTTTATATGTATGACTGGACTAGCTTTGTCTGCTAGGGGAATTTTCAAAGCTGGTCTCTGTTTGTTTTGATTTTAACAGACTCTGAACTTCCCACACTTTCTATTCCCTGCCCATAAATAAATACAGCCTACCCCCAAAACCTCAGTGGATTTGCTTGTGTGTTCCAAATCGCAGTTCCTCTGCTATTCCCCATTAAACTCATCTCTCTCTCTCTCTCTCCCCCTCCCTCTGACAATTTTGAGCTTGCTTCAGGTCAACACTATAGAGGTTTCTTCTACCATCCGAAAGTAGAGCATTCCTGTGAAACCTTTCGTAAGTCAAAATGGCATAAAGCGAATAAGCAATAACATTAATTTACACGGAAAAAAATTTGAGCGTACCCATACCCAAAAAAATAACTCACCAAATCATACCAAATACTCTTAATTAAGTCCAGTTCTACACTCATTGTAACACCCTTAGGAGTACTCAGGCTTTTCGGATACCTTAGGTCTCATCTTGCTAAGGGATGCACAAAATAAACTCAGCTAAAGCACAGATGCTCACAGACACAACTCTGGTGGCTTGTTGCTTAGATGCTGAACTCAGTTCCCTGGGAAGGAGCTGGGCCTGGCCACTCACTGTGGGGAATACTGCTGCCTCTATAATGGTTGCTGCCAGATACACACTGAATACTATTTTTGCTTTTTTCATAAAATTAAAAATACTCTTTGGATTTCTTTTGATTAGCAAAAACAGGTACTAATGTAGGTCTTTTGTAAAAACGAGTGGTGTAATGCAAACTTTTCAGACGCTGGGATACCTGTATATATTGGAAAACAACATTCAAAAGTGTTAGGGAGTTTAAACAATGGTATTGCAACTGCTACTTTAACATTTGTTAAATTGTATGAAAAAGATGGAGAATCTAGACAGTCTAAAACAGGATGGATGTTAGGAATGTTTGACCTTTGCAAAGCAAGAACTGAATACTTTTTTAAATGTAATTACTTAGTGACTCAATAGAAACTGAATAAGATATCATTTATTTTGTTGCCACTAAAATGAAGGAAATGCTCAGGATTTGATTATAATTTATAATAGAACAGAGATAACTCATTGTTAGACAAATGTACTTCTTAGAATCATTTTAAAAATTAAGAGGTAAAAAATGACCACATATTCAAGTCTTTAATGTCTTATTGTCTGATCTAGTTGGAAGTATTTTTTTAATGAAGGAAAATCAAAGAAAATGCTGCAAGCAAGATCACTTAGGGATTCTTAAAACCCAGTGCATTGGTGAAGACAAATTTAATAGCTTGACAGTGCTTGAAACAAGGAGACTTTATTTATCAAGTCTTGGAACAATCATGTGTTGGTGGATGCTCTCATTATTCCTGGTCAATTGTTACAGCAGCTGAACGACTTTCCTTATCATTTAGAGGTTTGTTGTGAATATAGTCTCTTGAAAACACTATTCCCTTCTTGTTATATTAGGCAGATATATTTAATTTCAGAAATTTTCTTAGTCATAGGAACAATATTTGTCATGAAACTAGTATCACTATTAGAGTAAGAAGTAATAGTGATATTAGTTTCATAAAAGAGTTGCACCCTTAATGGAATCTTCTTTTATGATGCTCAATGAAGGGTATGTGTATATAGTTATTTGAGGTAATAATACGAGACTGTACTAAAACTCATAATCCTTGGTCTAGATATATATCCTAAGGAAATCATCTGAATTCCATATGAAGATTTATAAATAGGTTCATTACAGTGTTATCTGTGATATGGAAAAATACTTAAAATTAATCCCACAATAAACTTTTAAAATAAATTAATGTACTATGTATCTATATTGGTATAATTTAGTTTCCAAAATGTATTTTTTTTGACTTTATGATTCAGCCCAACTGGTGTGGCTCAATGGTTGAGTGTCCACCCATGCACCAAGAGGTCACCGATTCGATTCTCGGTCAGGGCACATGCTCAGGTTGTGGGCCAAATCCCCAGTCGGGGCATGCAGGAGGCGGCCAATCGATGTTCCCTCTCATCCATGTTTCTATCTCTCTCTCCCACTCTTTCCCTCTCTCTCTAAAATCAATAAAGAAAAAAAATATTTTTTAAAAAATTTTATGATTCAGAAAGATTCTTGCAATGTATTGAGTGAAAGACCAGGATTTCATACCATATTATCTTGAATGTATAGAATATAATTTTGAAATATAAATACATATAAAATGTCATTTATTCAATAAATATCTATTAAACTCACTTTCTATGAAGCATTGTTCTAAATTAACACATGCTGAACAACATTGAACAAGGCTGTTGCACTTCCCACTTACATACAATTTCTGTTTGTATCAGTGGATTCAACCATAGATATAACACATACAAAAAATTAAATTTCTAGGTGGCAGAGTTATAGCTTTTTATTTTTGAATATTTTCCTGATATTTCCAAATCCTTTACAGCAACTATACTATTTTTAAAAATATCATCACGAATACTATAACCAAAATTAAAAGACCAACTCTAAGCTCTCTATTTTATATGCCAGTACGCCCATTAAAATAAATATAAAAAGCAGTAAGAGATTGATCAGTACCTTTATAGAAAATGATCCCCAATGAAAAATACACATAAATGGGCAATTCACAAAGGAAAATCAATCTTGACTTTTCTAAGGTTACAGGGAGAGGGATGTTTACCTCCCAATAATTGGAGAATATTCAACATAGAAATATGTTACATACCGTATTTTCACACATCACATTAACAAACATGGAAAGCAATTCAAAATGTGTGAGGTTATTGGGAAGACTATTTAATAACATGGGAAAATGTTCATAATATTAGGAATGAAAAAACTAAGTTACAAAATGATGTCTTACTTTTGAAAAAATTCCAATGATTATGTACAGAAACTGCTTTATTGGTGGTAATAAACCAAATATAAATAGTACTTATGTTTGGGTAGTGGGATTAATTGGTAGCTTCTAAAATTTCTACAGTAAATATATTTTAATTATGAAGGAAAAAATTCACTCTCCTAATAAAACAATGTGTCCTAGACTGAAGAGCACATGGACATTATTACTTTCCCCCTCCCCCACCTTCACAAAGCCTCCACGTCTTGTGTGTAATTTTGTGACAGGTGTCATTATTTCTGAATTATATTTGCTGGTGAGAACATTAGATTTATAAGGGAAATCACCAGATAAAATATATTCTAGTCACATTCACTCTTCTGTGTCCCACCGATTCCTGGAATAATAAGCAGTGTCGGACTGATTCGAGCTTTCTTCCTTTTCATTTCCTGTTGATCACATCTGCTTTGGTCTCGTGCTGATAGGCCTTCATTAAATATTTCTTAATTTGCGTTTCTAAGATCAGCTTATTCTGTGTTAGGCCTTTCTGAGTGAGGAAGATGAGTAAACCCACATTTCTGTTAGCAAAGCAAACGTACAAAATTTCAACTCTATGTAGGATAGGTAATAAAAAAATG